CCAGCTCGCGATGGGCAGTTCACACCAAGGGCAAATAGTCCCTACCGGGCTTCGCGCCCGACTGAGCAACTCCGCTACATCTGCCCGACAAGTCGTCAAGAATGACGGGCCATCTAAAAGGGTCAAAAGGAAGTCTCTCCCCTCGAGTGCAACACTTAGGTGATTCTGGCCATCGAGAGAAGGCCGGGCACATATGCAAACGAAAGGCGGGAAAACTTGCCAGCTAAGTCACAGCCACTTGCGGGCACTCCTCGGGCCCATAACTTAGGCTAAATTTTATGCAAAAATATAAGATTGCAAGCACGGGCAAACGTAAAACAGCATTCATTCAAAAAAATTCCCGAAGGCAACAAAGCAAATAATTATAAACCGACCAAGAAGGCCGGCGATGTTCATAAAGTACAACCAACGGGCACGCAAGCCCAAAAAATACAAATATCAAAGGCACGCAGGCCCGCTATCCTATAATCAGGCCTCCCCGGAACCATCATTGTCGACAATTGGAGAGTCGGGCGGGGGCACGATCGCGCCATCCACGATCTGATGCGTGTAGCCCGTCCCCTCAGTGACCAAACCAGGGTTTAACAAGGAAAGCTGGCCGACTGCGGAGTCGAACCCCTCCTCCAGAGCACCGACGCAATCTGCTTCGAGTAGCCGGATGTGGGCGACCAGCTCCGATCGACTCTTCAAAGCCGCTATATCCTCCGGCTCGTCCTCGGCAGGAAGCATGGCGACTTTCATGTCCTCGATCTGTTGGGTCATGCGCCCGATGTCGGTCTCCAGACGATCCCTGTCCGCGCGGAGAAGCTCTCCCTCCTCGGCTAGCTTCCCCGAATTTTCTTTCTCCAGGACCAGCATCTCTCTCTCAGCGGCCAGCAGCGATGCCTGCTCGCGGAACATCTCCTCGGAGCATTCCAGGGCAGTCCTTAACTTCCGCGAGCTCGAGGTGAGAGCCGCTTTCTCCTGCTCAAGTTCTTCAATACAGACAGGATCCTCCCCTTCCTCGGACAGCACCAGGGCCATTTCGTCCATTTCACCAGCCCGGCCATGCTGGCGGCCAGGTGCCTCTTCCGATCTTCCTTACTCATCCTCTTGATAGTCTCAGCCTCGTCGGCAACCACGGACAGAGGGAATCTCTCGAAGAAACCCTCCTCTTTGAAGCAAGGGGGGAACCCGAAGGACCTGATGGCGCTGGTGTCCTCGCCGACCGCCGACCCGCTTTCCACCCGGTTCCTCTTTCTTTGTATCAGGTCGGCATGTGGCTCGACCTCTTGAACCTCTGGGATCTCGTCCGACGCGGCCCCCGAGCTGGGCGACGAATCCACCCTCACCACCTGAGGAGCGCCCGGACTATGCAGCGGGCCCATCCTCGTTTCCTGGGGAGCCTTCACGACCCTCCTACCCCGCTTCTGGTCGCAAGACAGCTTCAAGAGTCTTTCCCGTCGCCCGACCATCGAACCTGCACAAAATAAAAGACGAGTTAGTGTCGAGCAAGTTCATAAATAAATGACAAGCAAAGAAAGTTAAGCAACAAACGACCTAGCAGACGAGCAGCCTGTCTGAACGACTGGCACTCCACGAGTGCCTTAGTATCGATCGGCCGGGACTCGAATGTCGGATAACCCTCCTCGTCCAAGACATCTTCCCCCTCCCTCGTGGCCCACCGGGCGGGGTGGAAGCTGTCGACGAACCGACAAAAAGTGGCGTACGCCTTCTCGTCCTCCGAACACATGTCGCCCGCAGCGGTATGATAGTATCCAGTCCCGTGCTCATAATGCCTGAACATCCAATGCACGGGGAACTTGGTCGTGCGAGCCATCACGGGATACCCATCGTTGTCCAAAACCGCCTCCCCGTCATCGTCGCTTATGGGCGCCTCCTCCTCGTACAGGGATTCTAAAGCAGACGTGGTAACTGGCCTCACAACATACCACTTGTCTTTAAAACCCCTTACGGAGTCCATGTACATCTTGAATAGTCTCCTCGACTGTTTTAAGGAGACCCAGCTGTGCTTCCCTCCTCGGGACTGGCGCTGCAGATGGAAAATTCTGAAGAAGAGAGGTATAGTCGCCCCGATCCTCAGAAAACGACATGTCAGCTCAAATGCACGGATAAAGGCGAGCGAGTTCGGGTGTAGCTGCGACGGGGCCAGCCCCAGATGGGCGAAGACCCCGGTCTGAAAGTCACTGAAGGGCAGCTGCAGCCCAAGATCTTTGAACGCGATTTCGTACATGGGGAAGCTATACTCGGGGTACACCGAGCAGATCCGGGCATTGGAGGTCGGCCGCATAACAACGAAATTCTTTTGAAAATCAGGCTGACCGTGGCCCGCCTCGAGGACAGCATATGGTTTTCGGTTACGTCGGCTATAGATCGACGCGATTCCTCTGGGCTCGTCGCCCACCCAATCCAACAGAGGGTCGTCGATAGTGTCGATCAAACTCACTGCCTCGTCGGCACTTTGTTCCTCCCGTTCGGGGCGTCCAGAGGAGCACGGCTCGTCCGCCATGGTTACCTGCAGAGCACGGGAAACCAGTCAATTGGGCACGAAACCATACGCTCGACGTAACGGACCAGATGTAGTGTACGACAAACCACGTCGCTCCATGTACGACCACAAAAGTTAGTTTGCAACAACATAGCAGTCGCCTCCCCGACGTCCGAATAACTCGATGAGACCTTCTCCAAACCGCCTAAGCAAACTGACAACGCGGTCATTCACGAGTATGCCGACCCAAGGTATGAACATGGCGAGCAACATCATAAAACCTACGACCAGAGCCATGAACATACCGGGCACGATCATGAATCAGGCGCCCTGGATCATGAGGACCCCGGGCAGCACTTCATATTGTAACCTAAACTATGTGTCCACCGGCCACGAGCATATGTTTGCCGGTCCTAAGCATGAATTTGTCGAGCTAAACATGAATATACCGGGCTAGTCCCACGCGCACAGTCCCTAAAATGTCGACAACGGTGAAAATCATACATCACAACAGGAAAACGAAGAAGATAAATCACTTACTTGCAATCAAGGAGTGAGTTCTGCAACAGAGGGAAGGAATCTGTGACGGGAATCGCAGCTATGCTATGAAAATCTGGAAGAACAGCAGCAGTAGGAGCGCAAAGAGTAGTAACGCGTTATGGGGCCCAAGGATCCTATTTATATTGATGACATGGAATACCAAACGTCACCTCGGGCAACCACGGAGTTTCTCTCCTCGACGCACGGCTCCCAAGGCAATGATGACCCTATCATCATAGGGTGGCGGCGCAGTTCCCGAAAAATACCCCGTGTGCTCGACAGACGCACGCCGGTGAGGATTCCCCGAGCATCCACCATGAAAGATTTGTCTCCGAGCACGACACGGAGAAGCCCTCGAGGACCTGCATCTCTGACCCGGGCGCGAGACCCCGAAACGGGAACGACCTGAGATCAAGCCATGGCTCCTAACCCAAGGAACCACGACTTGGGGGGCTCCTGTTCTGGACTGGGCCCGACAGGCCCAATAACATTGATAAGGCCCAATCCAAACGGACCTACTGAGGGCCACACTGACCAAAGGGTCACAGTCGTGCCCGACGTGCTCCTTGAGGTCACTTGCTCGACCTCCAGCTGTCCAGCTCGACATCCAGCTGTCCAGCTCGACATCCTGCTGTCCAGCTCGACATCACCTCGAACACCCCAAATAGGGCAGACTCAGTCCACTGCACTCCCAACGAGACCCCGAAAAGACCGCGTCTCTGTCCGCCCGCATTTCACGCAGAACATCCAGGGAGGGGACCACGTGCGGGTCCCCACTACGCACGTAGAACCTGGCAGTTCCTCCACTGGGCCAAACCTGCCCGACCCAATGAAGGAACCTTGGCCCAGCGCTGGGGGCTATAAATACCCTCTGTTTCCAGAGGGTCAAGTATTCATCATTCTACCCATACTTACTATTGCCTGCTCGTGCTCTTACTTACTTCAGCATCAGAGTGTCTTGCAGGTACCCCCCCCCCCCCCCCACCTCGTTCAAAACTTTCAGCTCGGAGCCAGCCGTGACGGTCCAAGTCTGATCAGGTTAGATCAATACATATGAGTTTAAAAATATTGATGGGGATAAAAAATTATGAAGTTTGACTGTAAATTGACCATAGTTGACTTTTTTCTCAATACAACTGATTTTTAGGTCAACTACTCAATTGATTGATAAAAAATGTGATCCAAGGCTTGAAACTTGACATGAGTAATCTAGGGGGTCCATAATGATCCATGAAAATCATATGCGGCATAAAAATTTCAAAAATCCTTGTGCAAACTCAAACCCTAATTTTGGTCATTAGTGCTTAAGGAGGTGTCTTGAGCTGATCAAACCCTAGTGCAGTCTTGAGCCCAAGAAGATCTTGTGAGCAAATTCTTGATAAGTGATAGGGCAAATTTTAGGGTACAACAAAAAGTAACAACAAAATGATTAATATCATGAATCTAATTAAATTAAATAATTTTATTTAATAAAATTAATTAATAAATTAATTAATAATATTAAATATAATTCTTTAATGTAATTATTCATTTAAAACAAGAGGAAATGGGCCTGAAAATCCAGAAAAGGGGAGGGTGTTAACAACATAAGCCCTAAGCCCAAATAACCAAATCATAAATTATGTGTGGCTTCTCCTGAGAGGGTATATCATGGACACTAGATCTGGGGCGTGAGATTTGGATATGAGGAGATTAGAGGGTGAACCACGAGTACGAATCTGTGTCATCAGATGATGTTGATGAAGGTTTGATGATGATCGTGAGGTTGCCAGTAAAGGTGCATGATGGTCCCTGATGGTGTGTGCACACAAGATCCATGTGAGAGAAAAATGGACGGTGACAAGTGCCATCTCTGTATTTGCCATGCTAAACAACATTATCATATAAAACAGATTAATTACAGAAAAAGATAATCACAATTAAAATTAAAACCTTATCTCTTCTCCAATCTCACTCTCGCTCTCCTACTTCTCTATATCTTACATTCAACAATAAAAAACCAAAAGGTAATAACAACCCAGAGAATCAGATCGAATATGGCAGTTAGCATGAACAAGGACGACAGTGATAACGAACACCGGGTGACTTGTATGAAAACCACGGTGGCAGAAATGAATGTTTGCAGCGGAGCACGACGGCGCGCTTGAAGATCCACGCTGCCGCCTCCGTACATGGTTCATATTAATTTATTTTTACATTGTCTTCTTCATCTCTCTATTCTAAATACTAATCTATGGCTTGATTTTACAGTAAAACTAAAGATCTAGCTTAGATCTTGAAAGGGGTCTTTGAAACCCTAGTTCAGAAACAATAATATTCAACGATAATGATGAGAAATACATAAATAATAGAGGAAAATGAAAGGAAAGGAGAAGGAAAAGAGTCGTGATGTCTGAATCTAGGAGTTTTATCAGCCTTTTGAGGCTTCTAGTAAGATCTTTCTAACTCTGTTAAGCTCGTATCTTCTTCTTGCTTCTCTGAGACTTGGGATTTAAGAAGGAATTTTCGAGTAGAAGGAAAATGATGAGATTTAGGGTTTGTGAGTTTTACGAATGTGAACAATTTCCTCCCCTCTTGAAATATATGCATTGATTGCTTATATACTGTGAAATTACGGTTTTTTGTTTGGGTCCTCTAATTTGTTTAACAGACATAATTCTCTCTTCCAATTCGTATTGGGCTTTTGTGATCTTTTGATTATTGTTTGTTCTTCTTGGTTTGTGATATGTTACTGTAGTGAAAATGTTGTTTGATTTGGCTCAGATGCGAATTTTTTTACTGTCCTATTTTTACTGCTATGTAACTATGATGTTGTGATCTGAACTTGCAGTAACTTGTTTCTTTTGATTCCAATCTTTACTGTGAACCAATATTTATTTATGGTTTATAGTAAAGTAAGTTGTTATCCCATGATTATTATTTTACTTCTTGATTTTTGTGTGAGATAGAAGTAATATGAGGCTGATATTGTTGGGCTTTGAATTCATGATGGGTTTACTTTCTGCACTTTTGATTCCTTCAATAATTCCTAGTGATGAAATTGTGAATAACACCTTAAGACTTGCAAATTATCTTGTTTATCTTATGTTTTTCTTTTGATTTCCTGTACTAATCATGCTCAATTCTCTTGTTTCATGTGTGGTTGAGCAAAATGGGCAATGGCAAGGTAATGAGTACAAGGAGTCTGTGGCTTCCATAGAAGAGTTCTTGGAGAGAAAACATGAAGTGTGAAGAATTTGAAATCTTTCCATAGAATCTCATAGTATAGATTAGAGTAGGTTTAGAAACTCTCATTGATTGCCTTGTAAAAATTTAGGACTTGTTATGTAATTTTGTAATCAACTTGCAAAACTATTTGGAGTTTTGATTGAATTAAAGAATGTATGAATATTCTCTAAACCTTGTGCTGAAGTAACTTTGTGATTTACAATTTCCAAATTTTAACTTTGCGCTTCAATCTTCTCCTTGTAAATTCTATTGCAAACTTGTGGAATAAAGAGTTCAAATTGGAATTTGTACTTCAATATTCTTTTTGCCAAAGTACTTATAAAACATGTTCAAACTTGAATGAATCTAATGAAACGTTTGAATCTCTTCAATCTCCGCTCTTGTATTTAAGTAACTTAGAAATAACATATCAAAGTAACTTCCATACCAAAAAGTTGTAAACCTTGTGTAATTCAAAATGTTCAAATTGGACCTTGTATCAAAGCATTTCCATTTGTAAAAGACTTGTAAAGTTGGAATGAAATTGCAATTGAACTTGAATCTTGAACAATGGTATAAACCCTGATTCTTTCCATATCCAAACATAAAGGATTGAAACCCCGGTCTTCTGAGAAATACAAAGAAATAAGCTCGGATTTAAAACCTTGGTAAATTTTGGAGAATAATAGCCTTGTAGTTGATGAGAAGGATATCCAAGATCGAAACCATAATATTGTTGATCTTTTGAACCAAGATGTCTTGTGTACTGAGATAATAATCATGATGATAATGCTTCAAGAATTTTGTCAAGAAAGAAGTCACACATTCCAATAATCAAAACCTTAGAAACTCTCAATCCTATGATGAAACAAAGAATCAAATGAGGTGTCTTGAGGCATGAGAAGCCTTTGTAGTTTAAATGAGCAAAGGAAGTGAGTATATCAAACCTTCCTTGCACTAATTGAAAATTCAAACATCTTCTATAGCTTGAAGAAGACCATGAAGACAAGAATACCTTGATCCCATCTCCAATGCATGAATGTGTATGGAGAAACATAAGTGTAATACAGTGGGAGAACTTACTTTTGAGTTTGCGTTTTATTGCAAATGTTGCGGATAGTAAGAGTCGCCACCGACTTGTATTTTATCTAATAAAGGAAAGGGTGAAAAGAACAGGAAAGACCTTTTGAGAATTTTCTGAGTAAGGCGGGTAGGTTATGAAAAGGGGAGGTGTTAGCACCCTTTCCATCTGTAGTTATCTACGGGTTCTTAATTGCTAGCTCACTTTTGAAATGCTTTGTGTTTGTGTATGTTTGAAAATATTTTGAAAATGCCTAAGTACAGAAATTTTGTAATGATTCCCGTATCGTTGAGAATGTATACAAAATGTTTGTTTTAATAATATTTGTGAAAGAAAGTGTTGTTTTTTGTGAAAGGATGTTTTGTTTTGAAAAGTTTGTGAGCAAACGACTACGAGCGTTCTACCTACACAAAAAAGTCTTTGTTCTTTTCCTCCTCCTTTAGATAGTGCTACTCTACTATTTGTTAGTAGAAAGCCCTATTGTTGGATGTGAGGGACAACGCAGGTCATCGTACAATCATAAAGGCAACTTGTAGGATGCTTTAGTAATTGTCATAAGGGACTAAGATCATTTACCGAGGCAACATCGAAGGGTCATCGAGGGACTACGATCTTTTAACCGAAAGTTTTTGCTAAAGCATCCCACGTTCAAGGGACATGACTGTTTAAATCTGAGGCAACAAGTGAGGGTCACCCTAGAGGTGCGCGTGTGCTAAGTGTTTTGATTTCAAGTATTTGTCTTGAGATTAGGTTTTCTAATGTTTGTTCTTTTTACGTCTTTCCATGCACGCCTAATTAATCTAGCAGTTAAATATATACAAGTGCGGAAAAAAATACGGGAAATAAATCTACACTATTACAGTACTTCGGGGAAGGGGAGTATAAACCATAAAATGGGGAAGAAAATAAAGAAAAACCTAATTAAAGTTATTACAGACCATTGATAAGTTACAATAATTATAAAAATATTAAGGAGAAAGATAAAGTGCGCGAAGATGGTGAAAAGGGAAAAATGTTTAAAACCTAAAAAATCTAAGCATTAGAAAATATTTTTTGGTATTTTATTTATGAAAAAAAGAAAGAATTTAAAGTGATAATTAAAAAAACAAATAAAGCCTAATTATTTCTAATTAACTTTATCTTTTTTAAACAAAGAAGTTAATTAATTAATAAAATGTCTAATTATTTTTATATCAATTAATTAATGAATAATATTATTAAAAAAAACCTAAGTCTATTTATTATTATTTTTAATTAAAATAGTTAAATAAAAGAAATAATAAAAAACATAGAAAATAAAAAAGAACATATTGGGCCTGCTGAAGTAGAAAAAATGGTGGTGTGAGAATAGAAGTTGTTGGGCCCAAAGAGACAAGGCCTAGTGCTTGCGTTGGATCCAATGCGGATGGCTCCAAAGGTTCCATGATGCACATGTGAATCTGAAGCATTAGACTTGGCTTGATGAACATCTGATGATGAAGAGTTGAGAGCGCGGGGTGAGATTATGGAAGCTTGTCACGCTGGATCTGCAAGCAAAAATATGTTAAAAAAACAAAAGGGTACCACTGGGGCTCGAACCCAGGTCCCTAAGGTTACATGCGCGCTTGTTTTACCACTAGGGTGGCTGTTCCATCTGGTTATGAAACGCCCCCGAGTAAATATGTTATAAAATAAGTTTAAAATTTTAAAATTTGCTATCTCCTCCTTCTTCTTCCCTGCGTTATACAACAACATAACTTCCATTTTTGAATTTGAAAATCTCCATTTCTCAACCAAATTGAAAACTTCCAAAATCAAACTTGCTTGATTTTTTTACAAGGAACTCAACCATATAAATTTCAAAAGCTAAAGATTAAAGATGAGTGCGAAGTTTGTTTGGTACCAAACTGAAACCCTAACATTTCAGAAAACTCAGTTCCAAAATTCTCACCACAGAGTCAACTAAAATGAGATTTAAGGACATGGTTAGCTTCATAGACATAATGTATACATTTTATACTCATAAAGTATATGCTAATGATGCTTGTATCAAGATTTCAAAGTTGGAGAAACTTACCTCTTGAAGTGAGAATCGAGTTTGAAGTTAGATCACTTCTGGAGGTGTTAAGATGATCTGGATAACTTCACTGAACTCCCAGTAAGCTTTTGCAGCGCCTACCTTGGATTGAGAGTGTCTTAACTCTTCTGGACAAGTCAAGTTGCACAGGTGTTTTGGATCGGTTGGGATGAAGTGTTTAGGATGTTTCAGTGACAAATTAATGCATACAGAAGCTTAGGTATCATATGGAGATGATGTGTGAATACTTAGTTCACAAGAAACTTTTTGGGAATGGGAGATTCGAAGAATTGGGTTTCAAGCTTTAATGAAGTTCTTGAAATGCCAATTCTAAATACAAGAGTGTTTAGGAGTGATTAGGGTTGTGAAATTCGTCCTTTGGTTTGAAAATGACCCCTCTATTTATAGGCAAAAGGTTTAAGAGGTTGAAGAAACCAGATCCTTGAGATAACACGTTATGGCTTGGTTGGAAGTGAAAAATCAAGTTTATGGTGAAATGGTTATTTCAAGGATCAAGTACAAGTGTTCTATGATGTTTTTGGGTGCAAGGAGGTTGCTTCTTCTCTTTAGGATGAAGTGCAATCAGAGGAAACAAATGAGGAGCTCAATGCATTGACTTTTGCAAAAAAGCATGCTTTATGTGAATGGCAATGGTGCCTTTGTGCCATAAATGAAAAATTATCTTGGATAAAGCTTGAATCAAATGGATAATGGTCATAAAGAATGTGTAATCTTCTGATTATGGAGAGATTTAGGGGTTTAGAGGCCTGTAAAGTGAGATTACAAGGCATGACTATGAGATTTGATTATGATTTCATCACAAAAATGA